TGAAAAAATATATATATATATATTTAATAACAATATCGATTTTTCACTCTGTATGACCTATATAAAATATACCAAGATTATTAAATATGTGAGGAGTTTCTCTATTTTTTTTTTAATATAATAAAATGGGAAAATTATTATTTTTTTATTAGAAAATATACGAATTTATATGAGAAATTTTGAAAAAATTTAATAAGTTGTTTTTCCTTTATTTAAATGGCCGCGTACAGGCGCAAATTGTCATTACGTTAGGATTTTTGTTTTTAAATAATTTCAATTAACGGCGATTATTTCGAGAAACTTTTGCGCAAGTCAGCGCTTTATGAATCCAATAAAAAGCAATTTCCAGGCTGACACATGACGAGTGTATTTTTCCTCATTCACCTTTCGTCGCAGGTAAGTCGTTACGATTTTTACGCCGGTTAAAGAGACGTTTTCTTTAAAAAAAATTCGATAAATAAAATAATATAGAATCGTCTAATGCATTTTTCGAAGAGATTTACGCCTTTATTTTAAGTAAAAGTCGTTATTAAAACGTCCCCGAAAGCAGGTAAACGTACAGAAACGGGCGTATTCCCCTTTTACCTATACATTATGAATGAATGCGGAGATGCGGGAAAATCGGTGTAATGCGCCGTCTAGAATTTTATTCAAATTTTTTTTATTTATTTTATTTTATTTCCATAATTTCAACTAATTAGTAGCAAATTTAAATTTAAAAACTGCCTTTTGGATTTTATTCGATTTTAATATTTTCTTAAATAAATAAAAACAGACGACAACTATAATATTAACCGAGAAGCGTTTCGCCGCCAGGTGTCAGTTTCGTCGCAACGACGTAATCAATTATTATTATATCTTTTTTTTTTAGTGCAATGGCGTTACTGGAAAGGTTACCTCTAACACGGTACGTCCGTACTATTGTATGTTTTTACGCTGGTAACAATTTTTTTTTTATGCTAGGCAAATTAAATTAATTATAAATTAATAAGTAGGAAGTGACGCAAATGTCGTTACGTCGACGTATCGAGATGACATAAGGAGCGATTTTTTTCATAAACATATGAAATGTTTTTTAGAAAACGGATTTACGGGCGATCGATTAAAATTAATTCATTTGAGCTTAGGTGATTAATTAAAAAATTAATTTAATTTTTTTTTAAATTAAATTTATTTTTTTTTACTGTTGTTACCTTATTGTGTTTAGTCGTTTGGTCAAAGCGTCAGTTGCTATGGAAACCGAAGCGCTGGTGAATGGCAGAAAGGTTTCTCCCACGAATCACGTCGCTAATTATCAATCGACTAACGGTAATGCTTCGAAATCGGAAATGTCACAAAATGCCAGCGAAAACAAGGAAGATAATCAAACGTATTCCGTAGAAACGTCAGAAGAAGGATTGACCACTCTCGGTGATTTATCCGGTAAGTCTCAAATTGATCTCACGCCTTATCGTTTCGTCTCTCTATGGTTCGAATTACTACTCATAGATGGCAGCAAAACAAACGTCAATTTAAATTTAACACAAGTTCACATTGTTACGTTCAAAATACTTTCGGTGTTTAATTATATACAATTTTTTCTATATTGATTTATCGTCGTATTTATAGACATTGCGTATATAAATGCCGAGTGAATTAAGTTTTATTTCAAATTTGATAAAAATATTGTCGTTATTTTTGTATTTTTTGACAGAAAGATTACATACAAATACACTTACTGATTTATATATCTATGCACTAGATTTACATTGTAAAACTAATAACAAGAAAAATCCTTGAATTCGGGTATTAAAAATAGTATTTAATTACCTATTCAATCCGCGATTAATGCATATTTTGTTCATACAATGGCTCATATTTTTCAGAAACTCGCAGCCAGAAGATGAATTACTTTTTAAAGGACAATAATAATTATTTATTTCTGTAAGTTACTCAACCTCGACCCGTAAATGTCTTATTAAGTACAATACAAGCGGCGTAATAACATGTAAAAAAATGTACACGCTACTAAGATTATCGTTATATAATATATGCCGGCCAAGACGATTACGGGAGTTATCATTAAGACCCTTATGACGTTATTCCTTTGAAAAATATACGAGAATTAATAGAATATAAATCGACCTAACAACATCTGCACTCTATGACAAAAGATGGTATTATTAAATACACGCAACAAACAGCATGAAATTCTTAAATTCTGACGTCACGCAACTTGTACTGTACTTTCTATTTAATGTATTAAAACATTTCTTTCTTTGCATAAATTAATACTTAGGCTTATTCTAAGATTTATCGATGTAAAGGGCATTAATAATTAATGAAATGTTAACAATAATATTATTAATTAATGTAGTGAATACGTGAGAAAAAGTCGCTATAATAATCTACACCATTTTGAATCTTTTTGACAGTTTATTTTGCTTCAAATTATATAAAATTTTGATGCCATGTACTGTCATTCTATACATAAAAATTCAATTTTTCCTCCTCTTGATATAATATTTTTCTTTGTTGGCTGTGCATTGACCAATAACATTGTTAAAAGCCTGTTGAGTGTCCCGCTTTTTACTTCGGCACGGAAACAATTTCAATAGAATGCTTTCAATTCGGCGATTGTTTTCTGTATAATAATCCTATCAAACTTCCTGCTTTTGATTACAGCTTTGAAAGAAACTTCTCTTTCCTCCCTAAGGGTTGGAATTAATTTTAACGAGGAAAATACCTTTATTCTATTGGAGTTCTATTAATTTTTATTTATTTATTAGAAAACAAAGGAATATCACTCTTCTTTAAAAATCTCGAAAACACAATACATTATACTCAATTAAACAATATGACAATAGTGTATCATGGTTGTTCACTGATGATACTAAACGATACTGATATTTGTTTTAAAATACCGTACGCATCAATATGCAAATCAGTAAACTATGTAAAGTTGGATCAGATATTCGACGCGTGGCACCAATTATATGGATCAATTTTACCATTAGTGTGCGTCTGACCCGCAATAAGATTGGCCTTAATGATTGAGGACGTGTCAGTCAACTAGTTATGACTAGCAATGATGTTCTTCGAGTTCCAATTATTCATTGTAGTAGACTGTTCTTTAGAATAAAACAATCCCGCGGTCTGTATATATCTGTAGCATGGAAGAATAAGGGCCAACGTAAAAGGCAAATGCCCTTATCCTTCCAATATTAAGCTTACGTAACGATTCTCTCACCATCTTGACTTGTCAGATCGTTTTCAAAGAACTGGTACCATCGAGTTAAGGCTTTATTCGAATTCACGCCAACTGTTTTAAAGCATCTTTCTGTGTATTAGCGTAAACATTCAAAAAGTTTCAAAGAAAGGACTATTAATGCATTCATAGATTTGAGATTCTCTATGGTTATATCCATTATAATTCAATGGTTCAATATTATTTTTATTTTTGATAAGAGCATTGTTTACTCTGTTGTATTTGCATCGATAACAATCGACACGTCTTCAAGAGCATTTTTTTTTATTACCACTATGGCGAATAACTAAATGCTTGAAATAGTTATTAGTTTATTTATTAGTTTAGTTATTAGTTATAATTTGTTATTAGCAAATCATATTTTCCTGAAGTATTTGTAGAGAATATCGTCGAACAAGCTTCTGTGTCAAAAAAATAAAAAAAATAATCTGTTTATTTGAATAGAAATTTTTAAATTTAGATTTTTCCTTCCTTCCTTTTCTTTGTTGGAATAAGCATTTTTTTACGTAGCCATGCAAATTTGGGAGAAAGCTAATGCAATTTTTTTACTTGTTGTACATGTTTTTTTTTAACTCTTCTATTTAACTTGCTAGTATTATGTCCTCAGATTTTGCAACTCAGATTTCATCGTTATAATTAAGGCTGAAACTTTGATGACGTAACTAAGTCCGACGAAAATGCATTTAATGGTGTTTTAGGGTGTATTCCCACCCCAACATCCCATCCATCCCGAAACCCAATAAACACTAATATACGTATACGTTAATTAATGCACTGTAGTAACGTATATTGTCGGGTGAAATCACCCTCACCATTTCCACTTCTAATCTCGAAAACACGACCAATAAAAGTAGTTTTTAAAATTTTTAAATACAGTATATTAAAATTATTCCTTTTAAAAGTTCAAATTCGGCGTGTGTCATTATTCTCTTCCATTTTCTATTCAATGCCAACTCTTGCCTCGATTCATTACATATTTTTATATTGTCCTGTATCTGTCTTTGATAAGATTGTACGTAAATGCAATTATTTCTCATTTACATCTACCTTTTTCGGAAATCTTATATTTTGACTTGTGCAACATCCATTTTTTAATCTGGATCCCTCACCGGATTATCAATCGTGCGNGAGTTGCGTAACTTTGCCGGCTGCTATGAGATTTTATTTTAAAAATCTATTTTAAATTATTAATCATAATAAAGTTAAAAAGGTATATGTGGCGCCATCTATTACGAGATTCTGTCGAAAAAATTTTATATATTTTTTAATTACAGTATTATAAAAAATAGCAAAGGACTTAATTTTGATTTGATGAATTTTATAAAGATCTGTAAATGCTAACAAGAGATAAAATCTTCATTAAATCCAACCCCACGTCAGATATGACACATATCTCGCGTGGAACTACAGAAAAAAGTCGTTACTGTAGTTCCATCTCGTTTCAACAGGTTATTTGAGGGGCCAGGGTGGAATAGGGACAAATAAATTAATCTATTAGAAAAATTAGAATTTTTTACTTTTAATGAGCATATACAAGTATATACAGTGGGTGATCGGTTAACGAACATAATCCGTTTCAAGACTTTGTTCGCTATCCGAATTGTTCGTTAACCGATTATAGATTTACCATAGGTTCTGGAAATTCCAAAAAATAAAAAATATATATACTTTCTTGCTACGTTTATTTATGTGTAATAATAAAAATACATATATTTTTCAGAAATAATTAATAGCATTGAATTGTAGAGATTTCCAAGCCTATTAACCTGAACCTGGTTTGGAAGCCATTCTAAGACCGTTGTTCTGACATCCTCCTACTTCTTCAAAAGATATTTAATAGCAGATATCGGCATTAATCTTCTTTTTCAGAAGAAAACATATCTCGCCGAATGAAGAACACCAAGAAACTCTTTGGTGTTCTTCATTCAAGAGTTCTTGGCGTTCTTTCGTCGTCAGATCTGTTTCATGTTGTATTATGACCTCTTTAATGTTCTTTATTTCTCAGATGTGGTTTTTGTTACTCCTTTAATTGCTTGAGTGTTCTTGATTATACTGTATTTTTCTTAGATAAGATTGAACTGCAGTCTACTGTAGACCTGTTCGAGCCATACTGTCCAGTAACATCAGACATCTTCTGCCTACTCTCTACCTTTGCTATTAAACTCTCGCCTTTCGAAAACAAAAACCGACGCAAAACTTAATGAGTGCCCGCCCGACGGTCTCGGGAATACAATAAAAAAATTCTTTCTGTCAGAAAAATAAAAGGCTGGAATTACAAGGGAGAGTTTCAAAGTTAAGAGGAATACTATTCGATCAACATATACTGGGTTGAGCATCGATGTCGCTGTCTCCCGCGCTTCAAAAAGTTTCGAATTGTTGCCCGAAGATAAGGGGAGACCAACTGGTATTCATTATTTTACTTCGCTTCTTCTTCTTCTTGTGTTTGTTCTGTGAGGTGTTCGTTATCCGATCACCCACTGTATTTATATATACTTGAATATATATGTATACAAATTTGATTCTACGAGTTTTTTTTTTTTTGCAAATCTCCATGTTTTGAGACCCTTGAATCCAAAAAAGTAAAAACAAAGGCAAAACAATTCTGTGGATATGTGTGTGTATTAGTGATGTGCCAGATATCCGTATTCGTATCCGTATCCGTTACTTTTTAGCGGATCTTTAACGAATTTTTTATCTTAATGAATTTCATTACTTATATAAAATTTTAAAGATAGGTAGCAATAAAATACTAATAACTTCAATTCAAATCACTTTTTATTTTTAAAACCACATATTTGGCACATTCACATTGCAAAAATTTTATCATGCAAAATTCATTTACTATCGTAAAATATTTCCATATTACACTACTAAACTTTTTTGTCTACATTGTTTTTATTTTAATTTAACTCAACACGCTCCAAAAATACAAACGTAATCTACGCTATTCCGTGTCACACTAAACTATAAACAAAAAATACGCGCAGTGCAAGTCAAAACACGTCGCGTTACTAACGCAAAGCGTCAACTATCGGTCCAAGGTCACACGCACCAGCGCCGACTGAGTACGAAAATTCAGATCCGTATCCGTATCCGCTGATTTAGACACTAATGATCCGTATCTGTATCCGTATCCGCGGATATACATTTTTAACGATCCGGCACATCACTAGTGTGTATGTATTGGCATCTATTTAGTTTAATATCTCAGGATGGGAGAAAGATGAAGAAACGAAATTTGGCATGTTGACTTGTATATGAGGCTATTAAATTTTGGTGGTGAAAGATCGACAGGATGGGGAGATAGAGGGGGGTCACGTACAGTACCTCCAGAGCGGTAGGACTTAATTGAAGATTTTATTTGTTATTAACATTTACACTTTAATATATATATGTTCACCTACTGTCAAAATTGCCATTTTATAGTAATTAAAAATATAAAAAGTTTTTATAACGAAATCTGATAACAGATGGCGCCACATACAATTTTAGTTTTTTGCTTAATAATGTAAAAGTTTTTTTAAGTAAAAAATCATAATATCCGGGAACGTTTCGAAACTCTCGTTCGTAGATTTTTTTAAATAATTAAAATAAATATTTAACGGGCGATTAGAGGTTTGTTTAGTTAAGTAAGGGCAACGTAACAACACATGGGCGATCTGCCTAGGGGCCAGTTAACCTCAAAAAGATCTCCCGGAATGAATTTTTAAGGTTAACTGGCCCCTATTCGGGCGTTACAGACGCGAAGAAAACCCTGAAAACTCCACGTGGCCAGCCCTTTCGGGCCAGGTGCGAAACCACAACTGAACTCCCAGTGTTCAGGGAACGGAACCGTTTGGCCACTGGTAGGCCGACGATCAGAGGAGTGTCATCATTAAGGAGAATATCGGGAATAATTTGTGCGCAAAACATTTTGTGAATAAATCTAAAGATTATGGTATGAATCTTGTTTATTTATTTTTTCGCTCTATAGACACTAGTGGGTTCGGCCCAGTGGCGTACCCAGGATCTGAACTAGAGGAGGGGACAACTCATATTAGTTTCGAGGAAGTGGGGAGGGAAAGTGAGATTTCACGACAGATGGCTCTAGTCTAGTCACAATATTCATTATTCAAACTGATACTAAATTGATACGTCTGTGCTGTGTCTGTGTGTCAATTACTACGCTTTAATTTTTCTTCTTGGGAGGGGCAGCTACCCCTTCCTCCCCTCGCTGGGTACGCCCTTGGTTGCGATACAAAATTCGTAATTTCAGGTAATAAAAACTCTTCAAAGTAATATATCTAATATTTAAATAAGCCTGCACCCTATCTCCTGTAAAAAAACCACACCACAACAGAAAAATGAAACCGGATGAATTATATGGTAAACGACTAAGGCAAGGTAAACGGACAAAGAATTTGGCTACATGGAATGTACAGTACAAGGGATCAGATTAAAGGGACAAGAGATAGTTAAAGAAATAAAAAGAATGAAAATTGATTTTGTGCTCTTAACAGAAACAAAAAAGAAAGGGTCGGGAATGGAAGAACTGGAAGACTAAGTGCATATTTACTCTGGCGTGCCAAAATATGGTGTATCCACGATGATTAAAAAAAATTTAAGAGAAATATTATCAACTTTGAAACAATAGATGAAAGAATGATGAAAGTTAACCTAAATATTTTGGAAGACGAATTACTATCATTAGAATATACGAACCAAATGAGGATGAAATCCACGAGGGTAAGGATTTGTTCTACAACAAATTGCAAGAGGTGATAGATGAAACTGGAGAGACAAGAGAAATAATGTTACTGGGTGATTTCAATGCAAATACGGGATCATTGAGAAATAACAAAATTATTAGACAATTCGGAGAAAATTTAACGAATGACAATGGAAGAAGACTAATAGACTTTTGTAATACAAATTACTTTAAAGTTAATAATGGGTTTTTTAAACATAAAGATATTCATAAATATACTTGAACCCAACATCCTAGGCAGTAGAAATCAATTATTGGTTATGTTATTACGAAGCAAAGAACCCAAATTAAAATTTTAGATGAAAGAGCACAGAGAGGTGTTATCTGCGGCTCAGACCATTCTCTAGTAAGAGTAAAAATCATTATTCTTTACAGAAGATTAATACAGACACAGAAAGAAGAAAAAGCGGAAATGGAAGTAATTAAAGATCTTAAATTTAATCTCGAAAGCTCGAAAGCGGAAGAAAGTACGAGAAAATTGTTTCAGACAAGATTAGATGAAAAATCGAAAAAAAAAAGAATATGATAACGCTATAGAATTATACGAAAATATAAAAAAACAGCACTGCATGAAGCAGCAAATGAAGCTCTAGGTCAAATCAAAGAACATGGAAAAACTTATAAAAAATTCTGGTGGGACAAAGAGGTAGAAAACATGATACAACAACGGTCAGGAAAGTTACGCAACTCGTTGCTGAATTTTTTAATATAATGTTTATGATACTTATTGTAAGTTTAATATTACTAACTTTAATTTGAATGCAAATAAGATTTTACAATAAATTTCTCATAATTTTTACTGAAAATTTCAAAATTTCTTTAGAATCGATGTCTCACGGGACGACTTTCGAAACTGGTTTCTGTTTAAGTATTAGGAACTTGACGAAAACACCGAAAACTCCACGCGGCCGATCCATTGGTCGGGTGCGAACCCACCACCGAACTATCCCCATTCATTGGTTTTATTATATTGTGAAGTATTGTATTATAAAAATTATATATTCAGACATCAGTAAATATATTTTTAAAAAATTCGGCAACGATTTGCGTAACTTTTCCGGCTGTTTACTTAAAAAAATAACTTTTATATTTTTAATTACAATATGGTAAATAAAATTGCGTGTGGCGCCATCTGTTATGAGATTTTATATTTTAAAAAATACATATTTTTTTTATAGTTATTATCGAATGGCAAAACTCTTAATTTTCAGGTAATGTGGTAAATGATGAATATCATAAAAAACTGTAAATGCTAATAATGTATAACGCCTTCATTAAGTCCGACCCCTCTCGAGATATGTAACGTGCCCCCTCTATCTTTCCACCCCCTCGACCTTGAACCACCAAAATTTAATAGAATCATGCCCTTTATTATATAAGCTATCATGCCAATTTTCGTTTCTTTATCTTCATCTCTTCCTGAGATATAAATAAAGTATAATATAATCCTTGAAAATTAGCTAAAAGTATTGATTAATAATGGTAAAAATTAACAGAAAAATTAAAATTCAATTAATTTTTTAAAAATTATTACGCATTCTTTTAAGATTTAATATAGATTAAAGCATTTGCTATGAAGGATTAATTATAATTAAGTTTTAATCAATCAATAATCCAATTTGCTCCTTATTTTTCTCTATATTATTCAATTTTTTTACATTTAAAAATTAATTCGTTTTATAATTGTTTGATAATTAAAATTATAAGTAAATTAAAATGATTAACTTGATTAGTAACTATAAAATATTAATATAAAACCAGTTGTAAACTTGACAGTTAATAAATGCTAATAAATAAATTATACTATAAGAATTTCTAGTAGAAAATTATAGAAAAATAGTCTGAAGAAGACTTCTAAGTAATGCACGAAGTTATTCTTAGCTTCACTCAATTTACACTTAAGAAAAATAAAAAGACAAACAAGGTTACTTGCACAATTCTTTTATATAAAATATATTTTGTCATAATAATATAATAACGTCTCCTCTAACTATACATAATGCACGGTATATTGATTTCGGTATCGGGTTTATGTACTGTACGAGCCATCATCTTAAATGGAGTTTTTTACTGTGAGGACTTAGAAGCCACACGTAAATGCAGTTTTTTTACAAACTATTCCGATCTAAATCTTTACAATGGAGAATGTACCAAGCACTAAACACGAATTTTTCACTCGTTCCTAACGTATTGTTTAACTGGAAACAATATTTTAACAGAAAATTTACAATTAAGCACAATTTTAGCCACACGTTTCCATGTTGTCGATGTTATAACACCTGTTTCGGTAAACTACATACTAATTACAATTAACAATAATTCTATTTATTCGCTAGAAATAATTTTAAGTACAGAATATTTATTTAAAGACATTAAATTAATTATTTTATAGCGTTAATGATAAAATAATTCACAAAATATACTGTTTCGGAAAAATTTATGTACTGTACGTGCTGTACTTCCTGCAAAATTTTGTTAATTTTTTAAAAAATATTTATGGAAAATTATATATTAAAATTTTATGTAATAATCATTACAAAATGTTTTATAAAATAAAAGTATTATTCCATATTCTTCGCCTTTCTCATCTATCATATTATACATTACATCCATCAAAATCATTACATTACCTTTAAGGATAGCAGCTGATGATAAATTCAGTACAAGTTTAATGGGTCAGATGCGAGTGGTAAATAAATGGGTTAATTATATAATTCAGCGGAAAATAACTCTTATTTTTATCATTTTTCTTAGTAACATGTTTTAAAAATTGTATACATCCATTTTATTCTAACAAAAATTATTTAAATTAAATTTCTAGATAAAAGAAAAAAATAATAATAATATTATACACATAGTTTTTAAATAAAAATAAGATAAAATGTTTAAACAATTCAATAGCATGCAAACTTGAATATAGGTAATGGATAAAAAGTTTTAATGTAATTAATATTGTAATATATTTCAATAAATCTGTTTAATTTTGTATATGCATAACTGCACATAATTAAATGTTAAATACTTGTATAAAATATATTTTACAGAATAAACTGGCATACATTTAACTGTGTAATTACATACAAAATTAATTAATTTATTTATTTATCTGTACACAGATAGAATCTGAATTCTGAGGCAAAGAATTATCACTTTCAAGTAACAAGAAATGTACTGCGACAAAGAAAAAAAGTATTAAAAATACAGTAAATTGCAACTTTACAAAAATAAATCCAATATATTTTTATTTTCTAGAGATTTAACACAGAAGATTCTCTAATACTTTGTCTATTGGAGAATATTTCTTCTGTTTATAAGTGAAATAAAGAAATTTAGAAATAAAAATTTTATACATCTGTACGATTTTTAGCTCCATAAAACAATAAAATTTAAAAAAAATATATATATATATATTTAATAACAATATCGATTTTTCACTCTGTATGACCTATATAAAATATACCAAGATTATTAAATATGTGAGGAGTTTCTCTATTTTTTTTTTAATATAATAAAATGGGAAAATTATTATTTTTTTATTAGAAAATATACGAATTTATATGAGAAATTTTGAAAAAATTTAATAAGTTGTTTTTCCTTTATTTAAATGGCCGCGTACAGGCGCAAATTGTCATTACGTTAGGATTTTTGTTTTTAAATAATTTCAATTAACGGCGATTATTTCGAGAAACTTTTGCGCAAGTCAGCGCTTTATGAATCCAATAAAAAGCAATTTCCAGGCTGACACATGACGAGTGTATTTTTCCTCATTCACCTTTCGTCGCAGGTAAGTCGTTACGATTTTTACGCCGGTTAAAGAGACGTTTTCTTTAAAAAAAATTCGATAAATAAAATAATATAGAATCGTCTAATGCATTTTTCGAAGAGATTTACGCCTTTATTTTAAGTAAAAGTCGTTATTAAAACGTCCCCGAAAGCAGGTAAACGTACAGAAACGGGCGTATTCCCCTTTTACCTATACATTATGAATGAATGCGGAGATGCGGGAAAATCGGTGTAATGCGCCGTCTAGAATTTTATTCAAATTTTTTTTATTTATTTTATTTTATTTCCATAATTTCAACTAATTAGTAGCAAATTTAAATTTAAAAACTGCCTTTTGGATTTTATTCGATTTTAATATTTTCTTAAATAAATAAAAACAGACGACAACTATAATATTAACCGAGAAGCGTTTCGCCGCCAGGTGTCAGTTTCGTCGCAACGACGTAATCAATTATTATTATATCTTTTTTTTTTTAGTGCAATGGCGTTACTGGAAAGGTTACCTCTAACACGGTACGTCCGTACTATTGTATGTTTTTACGCTGGTAACAATTTTTTTTTTATGCTAGGCAAATTAAATTAATTATAAATTAATAAGTAGGAAGTGACGCAAATGTCGTTACGTCGACGTATCGAGATGACATAAGGAGCGATTTTTTTCATAAACATATGAAATGTTTTTTAGAAAACGGATTTACGGGCGATCGATTAAAATTAATTCATTTGAGCTTAGGTGATTAATTAAAAAATTAATTTAATTTTTTTTTAAATTAAATTTATTTTTTTTTACTGTTGTTACCTTATTGCGTTTAGTCGTTTGGTCAAAGCGTCAGTTGCTATGGAAACCGAAGCGCTGGTGAATGGCAGAAAGGTTTCTCCCACGAATCACGTCGCTAATTATCAATCGACTAACGGTAATGCTTCGAAATCGGAAATGTCACAAAATGCCAGCGAAAACAAGGAAGATAATCAAACGTATTCCGTAGAAACGTCAGAAGAAGGATTGACCACTCTCGGTGATTTATCCGGTAAGTCTCAAATTGATCTCACGCCTTATCGTTTCGTCTCTCTATGGTTCGAATTACTACTCATAGATGGCAGCAAAACAAACGTCAATTTAAATTTAACACAAGTTCACATTGTTACGTTCAAAATACTTTCGGTGTTTAATTATATACAATTTTTTCTATATTGATTTATCGTCGTATTTATAGACATTGCGTATATAAATGCCGAGTGAATTAAGTTTTATTTCAAATTTGATAAAAATATTGTCGTTATTTTTGTATTTTTTGACAGAAAGATTACATACAAATACACTTACTGATTTATATATCTATGCACTAGATTTACATTGTAAAACTAATAACAAGAAAAATCCTTGAATTCGGGTATTAAAAATAGTATTTAATTACCTATTCAATCCGCGATTAATGCATATTTTGTTCATACAATGGCTCATATTTTTCAGAAACTCGCAGCCAGAAGATGAATTACTTTTTAAAGGACAATAATAATTATTTATTTCTGTAAGTTACTCAACCTCGACCCGTAAATGTCTTATTAAGTACAATACAAGCGGCGTAATAACATGTAAAAAAATGTACACGCTACTAAGATTATCGTTATATAATATATGCCGGCCAAGACGATTACGGGAGTTATCATTAAGACCCTTATGACGTTATTCCTTTGAAAAATATACGAGAATTAATAGAATATAAATCGACCTAACAACATCTGCACTCTATGACAAAAGATGGTATTATTAAATACACGCAACAAACAGCATGAAATTCTTAAATTCTGACGTCACGCAACTTGTACTGTACTTTCTATTTAATGTATTAAAACATTTCTTTCTTTGCATAAATTAATACTTAGGCTTATTCTAAGATTTATCGATGTAAAGGGCATTAATAATTAATGAAATGTTAACAATAATATTATTAATTAATGTAGTGAATACGTGAGAAAAAGTCGCTATAATAATCTACACCATTTTGAATCTTTTTGACAGTTTATTTTGCTTCAAATTATATAAAATTTTGATGCCATGTACTGTCATTCTATACATAAAAATTCAATTTTTCCTCCTCTTGATATAATATTTTTCTTTGTTGGCTGTGCATTGACCAATAACATTGTTAAAAGCCTGTTGAGTGTCCCGCTTTTTACTTCGGCACGGAAACAATTTCAATAGAATGCTTTCAATTCGGCGATTGTTTTCTGTATAATAATCCTATCAAACTTCCTGCTTTTGATTACAGCTTTGAAAGAAGCTTCTCTTTCCTCCCTAAGGGTTGGAATTAATTTTAACGAGGAAAATACCTTTATTCTATTGGAGTTCTATTAATTTTTATTTATTTATTAGAAAACAAAGGAATATCACTCTTCTTTAAAAATCTCGAAAACACAATACATTATACTCAATTAAACAATATGACAATAGTGTATCATGGTTGTTCACTGATGATACTAAACGATACTGATATTTGTTTTAAAATACCGTACGCATCAATATGCAAATCAGTAAACTATGTAAAGTTGGATCAGATATTCGACGCGTGGCACCAATTATATGGATCAATTTTACCATTAGTGTGCGTCTGACCCGCAATAAGATTGGCCTTAATGATTGAGGACGTGTCAGTCAACTAGTTATGGCTAGCAATGATGTTCTTCGAGTTCCAATTATTCATTGTAGTAGACTGTTCTTTAGAATAAAACAATCCCGCGGTCTGTATATATCTGTAGCATGGAAGAATAAGGGCCAACGTAAAAGGCAAATGCCCTTATCCTTCCAATATTAAGCTTACGTAACGATTCTCTCACCATCTTGACTTGTCAGATCGTTTTCAAAGAACTGGTACCATCGAGTTAAGGCTTTATTCGAATTCACGCCAACTGTTTTAAAGCATCTTTCTGTGTATTAGCGTAAACATTCAAAAAGTTTCAAAGAAAGGACTATTAATGCATTCATAGATTTGAGATTCTCTATGGTTATATCCATTATAATTCAATGGTTCAATATTATTTTTATTTTTGATAAGAGCATTGTTTACTCTGTTGTATTTGCATCGATAACAATCGACACGTCTTCAAGAGCATTTTTTTTTATTACCACTATGGCGAATAACTAAATGCTTGAAATAGTTATTAGTTTATTTATTAGTTTAGTTATTAGTTATAATTTGTTATTAGCAAATCATATTTTCCTGAAGTATTTGTAGAGAATATCGTCGAACAAGCTTCTGTGTCAAAAAAATAAAAAAAATAATCTGTTTATTTGAATAGAAATTTTTAAATTTAGATTTTTCCTTCCTTCCTTTTCTTTGTTGGAATAAGCATTTTTTTACGTAGCCATGCAAATTTGGGAGAAAGCTAATGCAATTTTTTTACTTGTTGTACATGTTTTTTTTTAACTCTTCTATTTAACTTGCTAGTATTATGTCCTCAGATTTTGCAACTCAGATTTCATCGTTATAATTAAGGCTGAAACTTTGATGACGTAACTAAGTCCGACGAAAATGCATTTAATGGTGTTTTAGGGTGTATTCCCACCCCAACATCCCATCCATCCCGAAACCCAATAAACACTAATATACGTATACGTTAATTAATGCACTGTAGTAACGTATATTGTCGGGTGAAATCACCCTCACCATTTCCACTTCTAATCTCGAAAACACGACCAATAAAAGTAGTTTTTAAAATTTTTAAATACAGTATATTAAAATTATTCCTTTTAAAAGTTCAAATTCGGCGTGTGTCATTATTCTCTTCCATTTTCTATTCAATGCCAACTCTTGCCTCGATTCATTACATATTTTTATATTGTCCTGTATTTGTCTTTGATAAGATTGTACGTAAATGCAATTATTTCTCATTTACATCTACCTTTTTCGGAAATCTTATATTTTGACTTGTGCAACATCCATTTTTTAATCTGGATCCCTCACCGGATTATCAATCGTGCGATTTTGGGAGGCCAAACGTTCGAAACTAACAATGAAATGCAGCAATGTATGGTCCAGAGGTTTCCGCATCGGCCTAAACAGTTTTACGTCACTAGAACACCTCGTTACGTCATTGGGACCAGTGCCAATACGCACGGGAGAATATCTGGAAAAGGCGATTTAAATTGGAAGCGGATGAAACATTTACATTCTCAGATATAATTAAAACTACAACTTCAATACAGAAGTAATTTAATTGGAATTCAAACAAAATATCGATGATTAACTCTTAAAATAAGAAGTAACCTCTATGTTTCAGCAGGAACCAATTTTTGCACGTTCCTATTGATCTGTAACCAAAATATGAATGCTAACTAAAATATATTTATATTCTAATAGGAAATTTTGTGTGTAATTCTCCAAATTGATTATCTCTAACAATTTATAGGCCAAACACAAACACACTGTGGAATATAGAATAAATATACATAGAATGTGGCAGATTGGTAAGACAGGCATTGTATCGTGTTCATAATTAATACATTAACACAAGCAACACGTGTGTTTTTTTGATTTTCTTTCTCTAGCATCATTAGTCTCAATTTCCTTGGGGTCGCTGCATGTTGGTATCCGTTTTATTACCGGATGCATTTCCTATGTCCAACTCTCCCTCGATTAAAAAGAAAATCTGTAGAGTGACTCGGACAGACTCTTGGGAAATTAAACTGATAATGGGGTTGGTGAATTGGCCAGGATCCTCACTACTTAATTTTAATCGGGTTAAAATTACTCTTTTATCTTTTACACTCAACAGATGGCAGCACGGGTCGAAAATGGCGACGTGTTAAGGGGAGAATTTATGAAAACAGTCGATAAACTTATCAAACTATTTATTTAATTAAGGTTAATTGTTTAATGAAATAATTAAGTTAATTCTATAATTTTTTTATATCGCATAATATCTTTACATGTAGATTAATCACGTAGATAATCCTCTTTCCTTAAGCTGGTAATCTTCTTTATATATCTTAATTACGTATTATCACGCAGAATAATGCACTGAAAATTAATTAAGTCTTGATTTAATAGTATTCGTTTTTATTTTTATTTACTTTAATTAATTAAAATTCTGTAAATATATCTTTTTCTCAGTTACCGTATTTACCGGCGTATAACACGTACCCCATTTTGAGACAGCATTTTTTGGGGGAAAAAAGTGCTCCTTATACGCCGGAAAATACGGTAATTTGTTTATTTTTTCGGGGGAATTTCGCGGAACTATTGAAAATTCTGTTGGAGGTGCTAAAGATAGATAGGAAATTAGCGAGGGTCCCGGATGTGGTGATAGCATTTCCGGTTTATCGTGGGCTCCGAGAGTACAGTACACTGTACAATCGAGTCAAGTTTGTGTAGTACAGTACCTGTATATGACAGCTTTAAATTTTATATTACACATTTAAAGGTTAAAAAACCTACCGTTACCATTCGCACCCCCGAAAATGCTTTCTTTACCCTTAAGAGTGCAAGCGCTCGGTGTTAAGAAACACTAGTCTAGACGGATTAGTTAATAATACACCTAAATATTAAGGAAATTGATAGATTTTTATGATGGCGGAGGGTTCGGGTTCGCATCTCATTCAGAATCTCGTATTTTACTTTTCCGGCTGTTATGTATACAATATCTCTGGAAGAGGTAATGGCGAAGAAACGAAATTTGGCAAGGTAACTTGTATGTAAGGGACGTAGATGCTGTTAAATTTTGGTGGTTAAAGGTAGAAGGGATGTGGAATAGAGACGATAAAAGTCCAGGGAGGATCTCGTTAACGTTTCTACTCCCAAATATTAAGCCTTTTGGCTTTTTATAATACTTAATAATATAAAAGTTATTTTTTAATAACATCTCCTAACAGATGGCGCCATATACAAAATATGTCGTAGTGTTTCTTAAGAAAATACTTTTCGCCTGGAAAGTTAAGCAACTCGTTGCTGGATTTTTTTTTATAGTATTATTTTTGTAGTTAACCGCTAAAAAGCTGGCGAGAACTTTCAAAAATATTATTTCTACCAGTAACTTTCACTTGTTTAAGTTGAAATTTATGAGAAACTTTTCGAAATATTCGCTTGTTCCACAGGGCAGAGTTCATTCTGGTTCATGCTCGTTGATAACGGCAATTTACTTGCACTTTATCACATCAATTTCGAGCAGATGTAAAGATATGCCTATTTAGTTTTGTGGATTGTGGATTAGGTAAGAAAATTTCTCCGGTTATTGGTATTTATAATTTTTCNTTTATTATATAAGCTATCATGCCAATTTTCGTTTCTTTATCTTCATCTCTTCCTGAGATATAAATAAAGTATAATATAATCCTTGAAAATTAGCTAAAAGTATTGATTAATAATGGTAAAAATTAACAGAAAAATTAAAATTCAATTAATTTTTTAAAAATTATTACGCATTCTTTTAAGATTTAATATAGATTAAAGCATTTGCTATGAAGGATTAATTATAATTAAGTTTTAATCAATCAATAATCCAATTTGCTCCTTATTTTTCTCTATATTATTCAATTTTTTTACATTTAAAAATTAATTCGTTTTATAATTGTTTGATAATTAAAATTATAAGTAAATTAAAATGATTAACTTGATTAGTAACTATAAAATATTAATATAAAACCAGTTGTAAACTTGACAGTTAATAAATGCTAATAAATAAATTATACTATAAGAATTTCTAGTAGAAAATTATAGAAAAATAGTCTGAAGAAGACTTCTAAGTAATGCACGAAGTTATTCTTAGCTTCACTCAATTTACACTTAAGAAAAATAAAAAGACAAACAAGGTTACTTGCACAATTCTTTTATATAAAATATATTTTGTCATAATAATATAATAACGTCTCCTCTAACTATACATAATGCACGGTATATTGATTTCGGTATCGGGTTTATGTACTGTACGAGCCATCATCTTAAATGGAGTTTTTTACTGTGAGGACTTAGAAGCCACACGTAAATGCAGTTTTTTTACAAACTATTCCGATCTAAATCTTTACAATGGAGAATGTACCAAGCACTAAACACGAATTTTTCACTCGTTCCTAACGTATTGTTTAACTGGAAACAATATTTTAACAGAAAATTTACAATTAAGCACAATTTTAGCCACACGTTTCCATGTTGTCGATGTTATAACACCTGTTTCGGTAAACTACATACTAATTACAATTAACAATAATTCTATTTATTCGCTAGAAATAATTTTAAGTACAGAATATTTATTTAAAGACATTAAATTAATTATTTTATAGCGTTAATGATAAAATAATTCACAAAATATACTGTTTCGGAAAAATTTATGTACTGTACGTGCTGTACTTCCTGCAAAATTTTGTTAATTTTTTAAAAAATATTTATGGAAAATTATATATTAAAATTTTATGTAATAATCATTACAAAATGTTTTATAAAATAAAAGTATTATTCCATATTCTTCGCCTTTCTCATCTATCATATTATACATTACATCCATCAAAATCATTACATTACCTTTAAGGATAGCAGCTGATGATAAATTCAGTACAAGTTTAATGGGTCAGATGCGAGTGGTAAATAAATGGGTTAATTATATAATTCAGCGGAAAATAACTCTTATTTTTATCATTTTTCTTAGTAACATGTTTTAAAAATTGTATACATCCATTTTATTCTAACAAAAATTATTTAAATTAAATTTCTAGATAAAAGAAAAAAATAATAATAATATTATACACATAGTTTTTAAATAAAAATAAGATAAAATGTTTAAACAATTCAATAGCATGCAAACTTGAATATAGGTAATGGATAAAAAGTTTTAATGTAATTAATATTGTAATATATTTCAATAAATCTGTTTAATTTTGTATATGCATAACTGCACATAATTAAATGTTAAATACTTGTATAAAATATATTTTACAGAATAAACTGGCATACATTTAACTGTGTAATTACATACAAAATTAATTAATTTATTTATTTATCTGTACACAGATAGAATCTGAATTCTGAGGCAAAGAATTATCACTTTCAAGTAACAAGAAATGTACTGCGACAAAGAAAAAAAGTATTAAAAATACAGTAAATTGCAACTTTACAAAAATAAATCCAATATATTTTTATTTTCTAGAGATTTAACACAGAAGATTCTCTAATACTTTGTCTATTGGAGAATATTTCTTCTGTTTATAAGTGAAATAAAGAAATTTAGAAATAAAAATTTTATACATCTGTACGATTTTTAGCTCCATAAAACAATAAAATTTAAAAAAAATATATATATATATATTTAATAACAATATCGATTTTTCACTCTGTATGACCTATATAAAATATACCAAGATTATTAAATATGTGAGGAGTTTCTCTATTTTTTTTTTAATATAATAAAATGGGAAAATTATTATTTTTTTATTAGAAAATATACGAATTTATATGAGAAATTTTGAAAAAATTTAATAAGTTGTTTTTCCTTTATTTAAATGGCCGCGTACAGGCGCAAATTGTCATTACGTTAGGATTTTTGTTTTTAAATAATTTCAATTAACGGCGATTATTTCGAGAAACTTTTGCGCAAGTCAGCGCTTTATGAATCCAATAAAAAGCAATTTCCAGGCTGACACATGACGAGTGTATTTTTCCTCATTCACCTTTCGTCGCAGGTAAGTCGTTACGATTTTTACGCCGGTTAAAGAGACGTTTTCTTTAAAAAAAATTCGATAAATAAAATAATATAGAATCGTCTAATGCATTTTTCGAAGAGATTTACGCCTTTATTTTAAGTAAAAGTCGTTATTAAAACGTCCCCGAAAGCAGGTAAACGTACAGAAACGGGCGTATTCCCCTTTTACCTATACATTATGAATGAATGCGGAGATGCGGGAAAATCGGTGTAATGCGCCGTCTAGAATTTTATTCAAATTTTTTTTATTTATTTTATTTTATTTCCATAATTTCAACTAATTAGTAGCAAATTTAAATTTAAAAACTGCCTTTTGGATTTTATTCGATTTTAATATTTTCTTAAATAAATAAAAACAGACGACAACTATAATATTAACCGAGAAGCGTTTCGCCGCCAGGTGTCAGTTTCGTCGCAACGACGTAATCAATTATTATTATATCTTTTTTTTTTAGTGCAATGGCGTTACTGGAAAGGTTACCTCTAACACGGTACGTCCGTACTATTGTATGTTTTTACGCTGGTAACAATTTTTTTTTTATGCTAGGCAAATTAAACTAATTATAAATTAATAAGTAGGAAGTGACGCAAATGTCGTTACGTCGACGTATCGAGATGACATAAGGAGCGATTTTTTTCATAAACATATGAAATGTTTTTTAGAAAACGGATTTACGGGCGATCGATTAAAATTAATTCATTTGAGCTTAGGTGATTAATTAAAAAATTAATTTAATTTTTTTTTAAATTAAATTTATTTTTTTTTACTGTTGTTACCTTATTGCGTTTAGTCGTTTGGTCAAAGCGTCAGTTGCTATGGAAACCGAAGCGCTGGTGAATGGCAGAAAGGTTTCTCCCACGAATCACGTCGCTAATTATCAATCGACTAACGGTAATGCTTCGAAATCGGAAATGTCACAAAATGCCAGCGAAAACAAGGAAGATAATCAAACGTATTCCGTAGAAACGTCAGAAGAAGGATTGACCACTCTCGGTGATTTATCCGGTAAGTCTCAAATTGATCTCACGCCTTATCGTTTCGTCTCTCTATGGTTCGAATTACTACTCATAGATGGCAGCAAAACAAACGTCAATTTAAATTTAACACAAGTTCACATTGTTACGTTCAAAATACTTTCGGTGTTTAATTATATACAATTTTTTCTATATTGATTTATCGTCGTATTTATAGACATTGCGTATATAAATGCCGAGTGAATTAAGTTTTATTTCAAATTTGATAAAAATATTGTCGTTATTTTTGTATTTTTTGACAGAAAGATTACATACAAATACACTTACTGATTTATATATCTATGCACTAGATTTACATTGTAAAACTAATAACAAGAAAAATCCTTGAATTCGGGTATTAAAAATAGTATTTAATTACCTATTCAATCCGCGATTAATGCATATTTTGTTCATACAATGGCTCATATTTTTCAGAAACTCGCAGCCAGAAGATGAATTACTTTTTAAAGGACAATAATAATTATTTATTTCTGTAAGTTACTCAACCTCGACCCGTAAATGTCTTATTAAGTACAATACAAGCGGCGTAATAACATGTAAAAAAATGTACACGCTACTAAGATTATCGTTATATAATATATGCCGGCCAAGACGATTACGGGAGTTATCATTAAGACCCTTATGACGTTATTCCTTTGAAAAATATACGAGAATTAATAGAATATAAATCGACCTAACAACATCTGCACTCTATGACAAAAGATGGTATTATTAAATACACGCAACAAACAGCATGAAATTCTTAAATTCTGACGTCACGCAACTTGTACTGTACTTTCTATTTAATGTATTAAAACATTTCTTTCTTTGCATAAATTAATACTTAGGCTTATTCTAAGATTTATCGATGTAAAGGGCATTAATAATTAATGAAATGTTAACAATAATATTATTAATTAATGTAGTGAATACGTGAGAAAAAGTCGCTATAATAATCTACACCATTTTGAATCTTTTTGACAGTTTATTTTGCTTCAAATTATATAAAATTTTGATGCCATGTACTGTCATTCTATACATAAAAATTCAATTTTTCCTCCTCTTGATATAATATTTTTCTTTGTTGGCTGTGCATTGACCAATAACATTGTTAAAAGCCTGTTGAGTGTCCCGCTTTTTACTTCGGCACGGAAACAATTTCAATAGAATGCTTTCAATTCGGCGATTGTTTTCTGTATAATAATCCTATCAAACTTCCTGCTTTTGATTACAGCTTTGAAAGAAGCTTCTCTTTCCTCCCTAAGGGTTGGAATTAATTTTAACGAGGAAAATACCTTTATTCTATTGGAGTTCTATTAATTTTTATTTATTTATTAGAAAACAAAGGAATATCACTCTTCTTTAAAAATCTCGAAAACACAATACATTATACTCAATTAAACAATATGACAATAGTGTATCATGGTTGTTCACTGATGATACTAAACGATACTGATATTTGTTTTAAAATACCGTACGCATCAATATGCAAATCAGTAAACTATGTAAAGTTGGATCAGATATTCGACGCGTGGCACCAATTATATGGATCAATTTTACCATTAGTGTGCGTCTGACCCGCAATAAGATTGGCCTTAATGATTGAGGACGTGTCAGTCAACTAGTTATGACTAGCAATGATGTTCTTCGAGTTCCAATTATTCATTGTAGTATACTGTTCTTTAGAATAAAACAATCCCGCGGTCTGTATATATCTGTAGCATGGAAGAATAAGGGCCAACGTAAAAGGCAAATGCCCTTATCCTTCCAATATTAAGCTTACGTAACGATTCTCTCACCATCTTGACTTGTCAGATCGTTTTCAAAGAACTGGTACCATCGAGTTAAGGCTTTATTCGAATTCACGCCAACTGTTTTAAAGCATCTTTCTGTGTATTAGCGTAAACATTCAAAAAGTTTCAAAGAAAGGACTATTAATGCATTCATAGATTTGAGATTCTCTATGGTTATATCCATTATAATTCAATGGTTCAATATTATTTTTATTTTTGATAAGAGCATTGTTTACTCTGTTGTATTTGCATCGATAACAATCGACACGTCTTCAAGAGCATTTTTTTTTATTACCACTATGGCGAATAACTAAATGCTTGAAATAGTTATTAGTTTATTTATTAGTTTAGTTATTAGTTATAATTTGTTATTAGCAAATCATATTTTCCTGAAGTATTTGTAGAGAATATCGTCGAACAAGCTTCTGTGTCAAAAAAATAAAAAAAATAATCTGTTTATTTGAATAGAAATTTTTAAATTTAGATTTTTCCTTCCTTCCTTTTCTTTGTTGGAATAAGCATTTTTTTTTTTACGTAGCCATGCAAATTTGGGAGAAAGCTAATGCAATTTTTTTACTTGTAAGTTGTACATGTCTTTTTTTTTTTAACTCTTCTATTTAACTTGCTAGTATTATGTCCTCAGATTTTGCAACTCAGATTTCATCGTTATAATTAAGGCTGAAACTTTGATGACGTAACTAAGTCCGACGAAAATGCATTTAATGGTGTTTTAGGGTGTATTCCCACCCCAACATCCCATCCATCCCGAAACCCAATAAACACTAATATACGTATAAGTTAATTAATGCACTGTAGTAACGTATATTGTCGGGTGAAATCACCCTCACCATTTCCACCTCTAATCTCGAAAACAGGACCAATAAAAGTAGTTTTTAAAATTTTTAAATACAGTATATTAAAATTATTCCTTTTAAAAGTTCAAATTCGGTGTGTGTCGTTATTCTCTTCCATTTTCTATTCAATGCCAACTCTTGCCTCGATTCATTACATATTTTTATATTGTCCTGTATCTGTCTTTGATAAGATTGTACGTAAATGCAATAATTTCTCATTTACATCTACCTTTTTCGGAAATCTTATATTTTGACTTGTGCAACATCCATTTTTTAATCTGGATCCCTCACCGGATTATCAATCGTGCAATTTTGGGAGGCCAAACGTTCGAAACTAACAATGAAATGCAGCAATGTATGGTCCAGAGGTTTCCGCATCGGCCTAAACAGTTTTACGTCACTAGAACACCTCGTTACGTCATTGGGACCAGTGCCAATACGCACGGGAGAATATCTGGAAAAGGCGATTTAAATTGGAAGCGGATGAAACATTTACATTCTCAGATATAATTAAAACTACAACTTCAATACAGAAGTAATTTAATTGGAATTCAAACAAAATATCGATGATTAACTCTTAAAATAAGAAGTAACCTCTATGTTTCAGCAGGAACCAATTTTTGCACGTTCCTATTGATCTGTAACCAAAATATGAATGCTAACTAAAATATATTTATATTCTAATAGGAAATTTTGTGTGTAATTCTCCAAATTGATTATCTCTAACAATTTATAGGCCAAACACAAACACACTGTGGAATATAGAATAAATATACATAGAATGTGGCAGATTGGTAAGACAGGCATTGTATCGTGTTCATAATTAATACATTAACACAAGCAACACGTGTGTTTTTTTGATTTTCTTTCTCTAGCATCATTAGTCTCAATTTCCTTGGGGTCGCTGCATGTTGGTATCCGTTTTATTACCGGATGCATTTCCTATGTCCAACTCTCCCTCGATTAAAAAGAAAATCTGTAGAGTGACTCGGACAGACTCTTGGGAAATTAAACTGATAATGGGGTTGGTGAATTGGCCAGGATCCTCACTACTTAATTTTAATCGGGTTAAAATTACTCTTTTATCTTTTACACTCAACAGATGGCAGCACGGGTCGAAAATGGCGACGTGTTAAGGGGAGAATTTATGAAAACAGTCGATAAACTTATCAAACTATTTATTTAATTAAGGTTAATTGTTTAATGAAATAATTAAGTTAATTCTATAATTTTTTTATATCGCATAATATCTTTACATGTAGATTAATCACGTAGATAATCCTCTTTCCTTAAGCTGGTAATCTTCTTTATATATCTTAATTACGTATTATCACGCAGAATAATGCACTGAAAATTAATTAAGTCTTGATTTAATAGTATTCGTTTTTATTTTTATTTACTTTAATTAATTAAAATTCTGTAAATATATCTTTTTCTCAGTTACCGTATTTACCGGCGTATAACACGTACCCCATTTTGAGACAGCATTTTTTGGGGGAAAAAAGTGCTCCTTATACGCCGGAAAATACGGTAATTTGTTTATTTTTTCGGGGGAATTTCGCGGAACTATTGAAAATTCTGTTGGAGGTGCTAAAGATAGATAGGAAATTAGCGAGGGTCCCGGATGTGGTGATAGCATTTCCGGTTTATCGTGGGCTCCGAGAGTACAGTACACTGTACAATCGAGTCAAGTTTGTGTAGTACAGTACCTGTATATGACAGCTTTAAATTTTATATTACACATTTAAAGGTTAAAAAACCTACCGTTACCATTCGCACCCCCGAAAATGCTTTCTTTACCCCTAAGAGTGCAAGCGCTCGGTGTTAAGAAACACTAGTCTAGACGGATTAGTTAATAATACACCTAAATATTAAGGAAATTGATAGATTTTTATGATGGCGGAGGGTTCGGGTTCGCATCTCATTCAGAATCTCGTATTTTACTTTTCCGGCTGTTATGTATACAATATCTCTGGAAGAGGTAATGGCGAAGAAACGAAATTTGGCAAGGTAACTTGTATGTAAGGGACGTAGATGCTGTTAAATTTTGGTGGTTAAAGGTAGAAGGGATGTGGAATAGAG